ATATTGCTAAAAGCGGCGTAAAACCATACTCACTCACTCACTTGTGGTTCCATGGCAGACAAAGGTCCCCAGCGCCTCGTGCATGCGTTGAGAGGCTGACATGGGGATGTGTTGGTCACAATGTGTACCCTGACTGCAGACGCCTTGGATGGTTGCTCTAGCCCAGACTTCTCTTGTGCTGAACTATTGCTGAGTACGGCGCTGAAAAACATTCACTCTTTAACGTGGTAGGCGAGTCGCAATATGATCCTTGTTCTTAATAGTAAATGAGTGAGTATGGTTTTACGCCGCTTTTAGCAATATTTAAGTAACATTCCGGCGGAGAGGTCAGAAATGGGCTTCACACATTGTACCCATGTGGGGATTCGAACCCGGACCTTCGGCGTGACGAGCGAACGCTTTAACCACTGGGCTACCCGACCGCCCCTTGTTCTTAATACAGCGATTATGTGGTCGATTGTTGACGCATTTGATCGCCACGTCGAACTCCGGGTTCGATTCCCCGAGTGATATACGCGAAGCCCATTGTTAGTGTCACCTGTCGGGAATCTTTCGAATATTGGTTAAAGCGGACAAGAAACACGTACTAATCTACTCTAAGGTAATGTTTATAGATAAAAGGAACTAAAAGATGTCCACCGCTTGAACAAAACAAGCGACTGACGAGTAGTGGCTACATACACCAAGAGAACTGAGTGACTTGACCACAGCTTAATGCGCATGTGTAGAAAGCCGGATGTGTTGCGGGTCAAAGACGTTTATAATTGCCCCTTTGGTTAAACCTACGAACAGGGTGTGCCAAACCGAGAATTTAAGTCGGATATGAATAAGTCGCTGTGCAGAGTTGCGTCCCTTTGGCACTACGGGAACCTACGTGGGTTCTAATCCCGGTTCGCCCTGATTATGTTTCTAGGTTTGTCAGCACCATACCCGTGGTCGTGGGTTTCACCGAAGTAGTAAACGTCTGAGACCAGCAGTAGAGCTCAGTCCCACATTCAGGATTTAAATGCCGCCCTTGATAGGACAATTCCCGATTAAAATTTGTCAAAAGTCTGATCAAGATCCTGTGATTCGTGGCGGGAAATTCACTAACAATCAGCCTGTCTCGCATATGAGCCACTTCGTAATTTTCGAATTAAGTGCTACATGTAAAAGTCTTCCCAAGAAAACTCATTTAAGATATTCCCCAATGGTTGTCTGGGTTGTCGAATATTCTTTTCTTATGTATTGGGATAATTACCGAACAAAACCAGCTGCTGGGGAACACACTACTGTCAAACACTGAGACATTTATGAAGGAAAGGCATCATCTCAAATGTGGAACATGTTATCATTTCAGCCACAATATGGGCAGGATCAGCAGCTTTTCCTCTTCATGGGTGCATCATGGCGTCCATATCTTCCGGTGACGATGGACAATTTGTCAAAAATGAAAGCAAAAACCATCTGAAGTTAACTGAGAAAATAAGATGTGAAGAGTCGGACTTCCTCATTGATAACATCCATGTAACATGTGTGGGTGAGTCTTTTAGGGCTCAGTCACACATTCCTGTGATTCGTGGCGGCAAATTTACAATCAGATATTGTTCAGGAAGCGTCCCGATTCAGCCGTTTCCCGCCGAATTCGTCCCGATTCTCACGTTCTCAATCCGAATCTGATCCGATTTGTATCTTCCGCATGCTACTAAAAACGACCGAATCTGTCCCGACAGCGTCCCTATTCTCCCAAATGCGATCTGACAGAGATCAGACAGCGACCGGTCAGTGAACGGACAAAGACGGTTCGCATTCGGCAAGATCTGGACGCAATCTGTACTCAATCGACAAGAAACGGCAATGAACAATTCATGCCCGTTCATCACGACAGCATCCCGATCCACAGGACACCGGACATTGTTGCGATTTTGATCCGATACAGCAGAATCTGTCACGATATAGTCACGATTGTAATCCGACTAGAATGTTACGGGACGTACCATACTGTCGGGAGTGCTTTGCCGACCTCTCTGGACCTTTCCCGATCCGTAGGACTGTTACGAATGTACAATGATAGGACATTCCAGATCATTGAGGATAGTAATCCGACTTTTTCACTTTTCGTGTCGTAGCGCTGTCTGATCTCAAACGGGAGCCATAATCGGCACCGTGTGAACCGGGCCTTACCTCGGGCTTTCCTGGCACACCGTGATATAACTGGATTACTATTCAAAGCAGCGTTAAACCAAACTCACTCACTCGGGATGCTAAACAGACACGCCATACCTTCTTATCAAAGCGCCGTTTGGCACACACACATCCACTATGGAAGTCAAAGGTTACAAAAATGGCCAGATTGCACGAGCCCTACGTTTTTCTTTAAACGATCCTGACGGCAAGACCGCTGACTTTACACCGGTAGAGAAGCAGCGTGACTGATGTCTGTACCCACTCCTGGCCTTTAGTTCGGATTAGTGTCGAGTGTCAAATTGGAAGACTGTCCCTGATCAGAGAGCGTAACCAGTTTCTGTCAGATGAAACTAGATTTATAAACGGTACTTTACAGATGTGGGAGACGTTTCCAGATACTCCCTCGAGGCGGGCTAATCGTCAACGCCGAGCCGTTCGTCAGCGTAATTGAATTGAATGGTTGTTGATTACCGCCAGCTATTTCATGGCGGCCTGTAAATAATCAAGTCTCGGAAAGACAAAGCAGTGTTTTGTAGCAACGTCCAACGTCGGTGGGGTATGATGGCACGGAGAGCAAGCCAGCCTCTCCAGTGGTGTAGTGAATAGAGCGTCCGCCCGGAGAGCGAAAGGTTGGTGGTTCAATCCCCGGCCTCGTCATACCAAAAGAGGTTAAAAAGATGGTACTTCTTGTTTGCTCTCGGCATTAAGGGGATATGTTTAAGAATGAACGGATAGCGTGGAGTCGATCAGTACATTGTGATACCGGCATTAGGACACACGCGCGCGCGCGCGCACACACACACACACTCACACACACACCACACACACACCACAGACACACCACACAGACAAACACACTCACGCACACATTCACAATCACGCATACACCACACACACAACACATTCACACTCACACACACCACAGACACACACAACACACATACAGACACACACACCTTGAGCGGCTTTTGACCGCCCAATCCAAATTAAGGATGAGACGACTCTTGGGCCAATCAGAACTCCTGCATCACCTCGATTCGGCAATTTCGATCTTAGCAACAGAAGACCACCACACGGCACAACTATACCCCTTATAGTACACCCTTTGCGTGCAGATGCCAGGCTGCTGAGAAACGGCAGGATGAAAAATATACCCACAACAATATAATCGCGCGGCTTTACTTTTTCACATTCGGAATTTCCCGATTACATTCGTTTACAAGATTGAGGAATCGGATATGCTTGTTTGAATGCTTTGTTTACTTGTACCGAGCTTTTAGAAACCTTGACGCCGATTGGATGATTAGAAGATATCCGCAGATCTTCGGGCAAAGCGGTATCGTGTTGGAGTAAAAGATCAGATTTTAATTATTGGGAAGACCTCTAACCCGTGTTTTAATTGATGTCTTCATGTAGATAAATAGTAAATGACTCATACCTATGTGCGTCTGGTCTTGACTTAGACAACTGACTATAGTTGACGAGGTGTACGTATTACATGTAATCGCCCGCCTTTCGTGGTTTTACTGTAGACTAACAATAAACTACCGCCCAAATTAGACTTTTTCTGTTCTTTAATCAAGTTCAACGTTAATCGGGAACAACTGTGTATGGCAAAGTGATCTACCATTCATTCGGCGGATGGATGCGTGTGTGAGTTGGGGGAGGGGGGTTGTTAAAGAAAGGAATTTGTTTCAGTCTGCTTCAAGACACAAAATTTCCACGTTTCAGTGTCTGCTTCAAGACACAAAATTTCCATGTTGCAGTCTCTGCTTCAAGTCACACACTTTCGACGTTTCAGTGTCTGCTTCAAGACACACATTTTCCACGTTTCAGTGTCTGCTTCAAGACACACACTTTCCACGTTTCAGTGTCTGCTTCAAGACACAAAATTTCAATGTTGCAGTCTCTGCTTCAAGACACACAGTGGCCATGTTTCAGTCTGCTTCAAGACACACAATTTCCATGTTTCAGTGTCTGCTTCAAGACACACACTTTCCACGTTTCAGTCTCTGCTTCAAGACACAAAATTTCCACGTTTCAGTGTCTGCTTCAAGACACAAAATTTCAATGTTGCAGTCTCTGCTTCAAGTCACACACTTTCCACGTTTCAGTGTCTGCTTCAAGACACACAATGTCCATATTTCTGTCTCTGCTTCAGGACACAAAATTTCAATGTTTCAGTCTCTGCTTCAAGACACACAGTGGCCATGTTTCAGTCTGCTTCAAGACCGACAATTTCCATTCTGTGCAAGAAAGAGCCGCAAAATATCTTTAAAAAACTCAAAACATTTTTAGGACAACCAGAGAACAAATCATTTATTTCGGTAAACCCCGAGGACAATTTAATGCTTTCCAATTTTCAGTGGAGCAAATTTATTTTTTTTAAGTGATAAACGACTAAGATCTGCATCACTTCGGGTTTTCCTTCCACATTAAGCTGATACGGCGTAATTTTACTGGAATACCGTTCAAAGCGGCGTTAATTTATAAACCCAACTCACTCACTCATCCACACGGAATTCGAATACACTGACACAATACAATTGTTCTCTGAAGCAGTAAGAGCGCCAGAGACGATACATAATTACTGCAGGCCTAAGCCTCTGACAATCCAAATAATACACAAGCAATGTGGGCCGTATCGAGCTGATGTGCAGACACAAACACGTCTGTATTGCCCAACTGAGCTCCACCCCCATAAGGCCTCCTTCGCGGCATTACAAACAACACATAACGAAATGAAATAAAGCAAATGTGAAGATAATTATGTAACCAACACAAACAGAGTAGGTTACAGCTTCTAATTATATAGTGGCGGCGACAATGATACCCTGGCTCACGCCATTGTCGACGGAGGGATCTGGACAAAGGGGCCCTCCAATCGTGGCGCTCGGTCACTTGTGTGTATTAATCTGGTAACGTGTTAAAATAACGCCATTGTGTTGAAGCGTTGATTACACTGGTTCACGAGGCAAGGCTGTGATATGGACGCTACTCCCTGACGTATATCAAACCAAGCGACATGGTCGGTAGTGGGCGGCCGTGCCATGGTAATATTCGCTGTTCTTGAGAACTAATCATAGATACTCCCATTAGACACCAGGCCTAGGGACCATGTGGCTGAAAGGTAAGGAGTGTTTAATATCCGATGCTTTTTTATATTTGATATCTATTCAAGTTTTTATTTCAGGCCATGACATTTGTATAGGTTTAATCATATTGTGACGTATTTTTAAGCTTTGTTTTTCAATTGTCGAATGAACATGCTTCAGTCGCTTCAGCGAGTTTTTCATCGACTCATCATGTTCAATGTTATTGGAAGGTGACAACTTGTTATTTTTTTACGTGTAAACTTTACTATTTATTTTTTATTGTAGAATAAAGCAATTGTGTATGGTTTCAGCACAAACAACACACAGTAGGTGTTTGATTCTTATGTTACAAGATTGTTCACTGATGAAACATTTTTGAAGGGCACTAAATACGTCTTTGATTCATAAAAAATAAAAGAAATCTCTGCTAAAATCAGAGTCTATTTTACGATTCCGACTATATAATGAGCAAATGTCTACGAAGCACCACCATTAACACATGCTCATGATATTGTCGGAATCGTACAATAGACGCTGCTTTTAGCAGAGAGTTCTTATGAACAAGGAAAGGGTTTTGTAGCTTATATTAGTATTTCACCAAGTAGAGAAGCCGTTTATAGAAACTGCTTGGGGGTATCTAGGGTTTATCATATCCCGAAGAGTGAAAGCTTGAATTGAGATAAGAAGGATTTCATAGAGTAAATGTTTTCGTGTTTACTTCTCTATTTTTTTAAAGTCTAATATGGAAAGGTGTAAAATGAGACGGAGTACATTCCTATTAAGAACTGTCTATGCTAGTTCAAATACAACTAAGTGAATACGATATATTTATGTATGTTCAAATTCTTAACAATAAGCTGTTGGTTTATAATACCCTAGCATTTATGAGCGCTCCAATGTTTTCGTTCAAAATTCTTTACGGTACGTGTTTTTAAGGAATCATTCACGAAAGTTCACCACGTCGATGCCATTTACATTAAATGGAGGCAAAGAAAAGGCAATCAACATTTGCGAACACCCGGTGTCATCACTGTTTTAAAGTGATCCACTGATATAATTTTCACCGCTATTTTGCCTTTAACGCCACAGGGGATCTGTTTCATAGGATAATCGAGACTGGTTATTCTCTGGCATTGTCGTTTTATATTTAAATGTGACGCCTGGAAAGTCGGCTCTGTGTGGTCTTGCGTAGTACTGTAAGTCTTGTGTTACGTATAAACTAAAACAAATTAATCATACATAGCTATTTTATGTTATTTGATATTACGTGAATGATGCTCACATGAACAGGGGGCGGTCGGGTAGCCTAGTGGTTAAAGCGTTCGCTCGTCAGAAGACCCGGGTTCGAATCCCGACATTCCTGGTGTCCCCCGCCGTGATATTGCTGGAATATTGCTAAAAGCGGCGTAAAACCAAACTCACTCACTCACATGAACAGGCCTCAAATACCCTACCATCATAGGGCCAAAACAATATGCATCAGACTGCCATTATGCGAGATCAACGACCGGCTTTCACAATTCAGATAGTAAACAAAAGTGCAGAACACAAACTTATTAAATATATATTTTCAATAAAATGACCCTTTCCAACGTATTTGGTTCATTTGTCCTTCAGACTTCTTATCCCGGTATTATATAACGCTTCTAAGTAGCTCTCCAACCAGGGCTCAACACCAGACTTCAAGCATCATCGTCTGCAAACGTTGTGCAGGCTTACGCCACATTAACTTAACCCACTGCAACTCTGGACATGTGATCCGAAGCTGCAGAGCATCATCTGTCAACACCCCACTGCGCTTGGTGTACACTGCATTACTCAATTATATCAAAATGATGGCGTAATACTGACCTACCATTGCAATTTTGCGGGGCATCAAATAAGACTCCCTTTGACTCCAAGAAAACTGCGGCCATAATCGTCCACGGTGAGGACTGAGTCCGAGGCTCTCTTTGGTGCAGGATGTTTTGAATGTTTGCATTGCATTTATTCAGTGTTGGTGTCCGGTTCGCAGCGATGAACCCAACTCTTGTCACCCGTTACCAAACATAATACAAACTGGGTGGTGGGGTGGGGGGGTGGGGGGGTGGGGGGGGGGGGGGGGGGGGGGGGGGGGGGGGGGGCTTCCTGACAGCGGGTCAACTTCGAGGGACTCTGTACCATGTTCAAACTCTGGTTCATCGAGCTGCAGTCGAGTATTTAGGAGCATCACTATCCATCACGTTGACCATGTATTTCTTTAGCTGTACACCTTCCTTGGTCAAACACCCCATGGTCAAACACCCCATGACTGCCCTTTGTTTGCTCCAGCTTGCTGAAATCAACATTGCTTCATATGGTGCTCTACTTCTTGTAGTTTATTTGATTCACAGCTTTATATTTATAATCATATTATCAGTACAGGACTAACGACTAAATATCAAAACCTTCCACACTAACGGAAAAACTACTACTGATGTGGCAGGAGTTTTGGACCTCCGTCGTAATCAGCTGTGTGTCATCGAACACATCGGCATATTTGTTGCTCATGTTATCCGACCGCCTCCGTGGTCCTGTGGTAGAGCGTCCGCCCGGAGAGCGGAAGGTTCGGGGTTCGATCCCCGGCCGCGTCATACCAAAAGACGTTAAAAGATGGTACTTGTTGTTACCCTGTCTGGCGCTCGGCATTAAGGGGCTAAAACAAGGACTGGTCGGCTCGGAGTCAGTATACTGTGTCTGAGTGGGGTATTCATGTTAAACTGCGGCGTGGTATCTCAGTGAGCTAGCACTATAAATCGGCATTAGTCCGGACTAGAACAAGCAGCCACACAAACACATACTCGTACATGCACGTCGCTATATAAGTGCAATAATCTTGGACGCCACGTTAAACCCAATTTCACCTCACCTCACCTCATGTTATCCACCACTAGCCGCAATTACGACAGGCCATAATATATTATTGAAAAAATGCGTAATATTGGGGCGTGGCGTAAGACAACATTCCCTGATTCATATAATTATAATAAAAGTGCCAGAACTATTTTCATTATCAGCTAAAATCTCTAGTTCAAGTAGAGTCCATTGTACGATTCCGACTATATCATGAGTATAATTTGCCTTTTTGAATTACTATCAAAGTGTGATGCAACCAGGTGTTCGTGAAACGGCGAGTCTATGCCGCCCCTCCGTCACAAATACATGCAAGGGCAATGTAAGTTGAAAAAACACGGAAACGTGGTACAAGTCAAAATAGGTAGTAGCATCGGACATCATTTTTATCACTGATGCTTTAAAGTTGGAAATGTCATCCAAGTGTCTTCCATAAAAAATTATAAGCCATACTGAGGCCTTGACGGCTGTAACCATTAACAAACAACCTTTGAGAAAGAGTCGCATGACGCTCTTTGAAATATTGGTAGAAAGAGCAGCACGATTGTATCTCAAGGTCGTGAGAGGATGGCGACAAAGGCTGGAGCAGCTGGAGTATTGCTCGACATGAAGGGAAAGTTGACTGTTGAAAAGTTGAAGTCATCCCACTTGTCATACAATCTTGTCGAGAGTGTTTTGTCACCCCGAATCTTTATGTACAGATCGGTTTCTCTGGTGCCGTTCTTGAGTTCAGGTGGGTAAATCAGTGGAAGGGAATTGGCCATTTGTCTGTCATATACATTTGTTGCACGTCATTTCGAAGAACCGTGTTCGATTGTTTAAGTTGGGGAATTATTTTACACTCATTCTTAATGTTCCAGATGTTTATGTGTTTCGTGTTATTTTACAATAATTACATTTTCGTTGTGTTCATTGAAATTCCTGCATTCTGATTAGCTGAATTGGTCACGTGTTATTGCATTCATTTCTCAACGAATGTATAATATTAAGCCACGCCCACCGAAGCGGACTACATGTAATTACTATTGAATGTCGGGGAATAAACTACGCGGATTCATACCTCAATGAGCCGAAACAAATACACAGTCAATCCTTAATTTAATATTTTTTTAATGAAAAGGCGCAACATGACATGGAATTTAAGTCCTTTATTTTTGCTATTTCGAATATAACTAAATAAGCGAAAGCGATATGTTCAGGTGCGTTAAAAGTCTTATCAATAAGCTGTAACCAGATGCTGGTCTAAAATACTTTATTATATTTATGAGGAACGCACCTTTTCCTTGGTTTCTTGGAAAAAAGTAGTTATTCTTTTAAATTCTGTACCGTATGTAGGTGCTTTTACAGAATCATTCAAGAACGTTATGTTGAAGCTTTTCATCAACAAAATATTTCAAAATCCAACATTGTCGACAAAAAAATGCCATTATTAACATGAACTTACGTGTTATGAGAGGCAAGCTACGATATTTACCATGGAGTCTCTTACATTGTCATCATCAAATTACAGAATAACACGTTTTAAAAGCGTCAGTTTCCATGGTTATATTATCACATTCAGCTTGTCGTTAGTAATAAACGTCAGTTATCAGCTGGCGTTGACGTTTCTACATGAATATTTGTTAAACTGACGGTACACAAACTCAGAAGAGACAATAAATTATAGATAAATTATCAGAGTCTGACTCATTTCCGACATTTCTGGTCATATGGCCAGAACAAGAGCCTACCCACTATTTCACTCTCACTGGGGTCGAGAGTCGATGAAACTGACAAAAGGTTGATTTAAGTGAGTGAGTGTGTGCGATTGGTTTTACGCCGCTTTTAGCAATATTCCAGCAATATCACGGCGGGGGACACAAGAAATGGGCTTCACACATTGTACCCATGTCGGGAATGGAAACCCGGGTCTTCGGAATGACAAGCGAACGCTTTTAACCACAAGGCTACCCGACTGCCCCGGTTGATTCAAGGTGTTAAAACAACACAATGTGTGTTCGCAAATACAAATTGTAAAATATACATAAGCCACGTCATTATTCAAGAATACCTATATGATAACGTATACAAATATGGCAGTTACAGGTTTTGTTAAACTGTCAACTAACCAGTAATATACCAGTAGTATATAGTGTATATAATACATAGTGTAGTTAGTATTAGC